CTTGCACTGATCCGGAAAACACCCCTTAACTACACACGCGTACAGTTGTGAGACAAAACCGCTAACATCCTTCGCACTTTCGCAGTCGCCTATTCTCCCATGATGTGTGATTTCAGGTTTCTTCAATTCATCGGCCAAAATTCTCCGCCGTAGATCTTCGTCCACTGAAAGCAAATCTGCAAGGGAAGTCAAAAATCCGCTGATTGTTTGCGGATTCTTCGCGTCAATCCCGAAATCTACACCGTCAAACCGTGAAGATCCGCTCATTCTTCGACGTCAATGCGAGATTCAGGTGTTTTCTAAAATACATATGCGATTTTCATTCAATTCATATATATTCGGGCAAATCAATATCAGGGCTATGGAATTCCATCCCTATTTCAGATTCTTTGCCTCGATTTCCCTACTTTTTCGGTCAATTCTTCGATTATGAATCGTGAGTTGATTAATAGCGGGATTCCATACTTAATTTAGATTCGTATTCCGCTTAATTAGATTGGGGAAGAAAGTGAAAGAAAACAACCACATTGGTGTCCATAGGTTAATTCTTAGAATGAAGGTTAATTAGGTTTCAAATTGCAGAGGTAATTTCACTTCCTGATTTCTTCCTAGCAGTAATTTCACTTCTTGATTTCTTCCTAGCGGAATTACAGGTTAGAAGTAATTTCACTTCTTGACTTCTTTTTTTATTTTTTCTTAGTTGGAGTTCTCTAATAAATTCATTTCGACTATTAGGGATTAAGGAGCAATTAATTTCATACTTGAGAAAATAATCTAAACAAAGTTTATAAAAAAAACTCCAAATGTCCAGGTTAGAAAGTGCTATTTCCCTATTGACATTGTAATTTAATGAAAAAGTTGCTTAGTATGGGAGATTTTAGATTCCATATTGTAACCTAGAAAAATGTTTTATGGTTTCAAAGCTTTGTTAATAAATTTATGTTTTTATTAACTGGAAACTTTCCACTTTGGGAATAAGCTTATTAAAAGCTTCTCATAATAAGATTATTTTGATTTTTGAAACCCCTGATTTTGATCACTTTGTTTGGGTGTATTTAGTGTTGATTTTGAGTATTCGTGTACTTTTTTTCATTTCCGGTTTTCATTTTGTTTATAGGTTTCTAAACTATTTATGACATATGACATGTCTTTTTTATTTACGGACATACACTAGGTTATTATTAGAGTATGACTTACATAAGATTAATTTTATACATGCATGCATAAATGTTGTTCCCCTTCATGGTTGATAAATTTGTCTATGTGAAGATGATTTTGGAACAACTCAAAATGTAAAGGATGTACTTAAATTTAGAATGTTTTTCACTTCCCCCACACCCTCTTGAATTTCCAAAGTTTTTTTATATCTTAAAACACGATAAGCGGTGTTTTAATCTAAATTTCATTTGCTGGCAATTCTGAAATTCGCATATTTACCTTCACCCCATCAAACACACATACAAAGAACTACTGTGAATTATACTCCTACCGGTTCTGTTTCATTCCCCAGTTCCTAGCACGTTTAATGAACACCCATCATCAACATATTGTTATGGAGGTAAGTTGTTGTTCTCAGTGCTATATGTAGCTTCACAGAAAAACTTGCGAGGATAAAACTGTGCGTGCGTGTGTTGATATATATAAAGAGAGTTTTCTAATTGCAAGACTAACATGTCATGTGACATGACAGCTAACTTGGTTTTCTCTAGCTCAGTCGGAATATGTCGAAGAGTTACCCGGCTATAAAGGTAATCTATTAATAAATGTTGCAACTTCTTTTATTAACAATATATATGTATGACCCATTTGTTTATTACAGTCTGGAGATCAGTTAGTTTGCCACGATTAGTCATAAATTCTGATTGATGATGTTCACTATGATGATGAACATGGTGTCCCGATCTTAAAATCTGGACTGCCTGCACGGGGTCACAACACTGATTTTGTGTTTACCAGTGCAAGCCATGACACTGGTTTTGCAATCAGATGTCCGATACGGGTAAAAGAATCGACATTGAAGGTGTACATTTCTACTTTGATTTTGGGTTTGGTCTTGGGTTAGGTTCTAGGTTGACTTTTAACTTTAGTGTTTGACAATCAAATTTGCGTTAGGTTTGCGGGTACAATCCGTTGGATTTTAATTTTTAGGTCAGACTCTAGGTCGTGTTTTGAGTTAAGGCAATTGCGTTTTACTGTCTTGTTTTTTGTTGTGGTTCTAAATACTATCAAATTGTATGAGCAGCAGGACAGATTTACTTCAACAACAGACAACATAGTATACAACAAAATCCTACAACACATTGACATAAACGGTAACAAAATGCACATTCACCATTTTAAACAATTTAAGAAACACAAAAAAACATGAAATAATCCACAACACCATTAACGCTTCCCTATCGCAGGTACTCTTGCTGGACAGGACCGCTCGACGCATAGTACCCAATAAATCAGGTACTGAAAACATTAATAATTTCAAAGAAAATAAATCCAAACAAATAAACAATAGATCAAAGATATTTGTTATGCAACATTTTTGAGGTTTAACTTCCTTTGATTGATTAACAGGTTGCTATTTCAATGGATACTCAATTACTAGGTGTTTTGCATCACTAGGCTCCCTAATTCCCATAGATGTAAAATGCTGTTATGGTCTCTGATCTTCTCCGCACATTGTTACAGTACTTGTGAGTCACTAAGATCGTTCCTTAATTTCTATAATTGCACTATCTCATGGATTTAAACTAAACCAATCATGAACTTTATCATCATATTAGTGAGTTGAACTTTCTTGTTTTACTGGATTGAGTGATACGCTACGAAAAAAATTAGGTTTTTTACTTTTTCCTGAATTTCAAACTTTTTTCCCAATTATTGATGGATACATCGCATTTGATATCTCCCTTGCATGATGGATGGATACACCAAATCCGATATCTCTCGTGCATGGTTGATGGATACACTAAATTTCATATCTTTGCTGTGTGTATCAATCTAACCCTCTGTTGTTTGTTCGTAGTCTGCGCATTCTAAGGCTGAGATTAGCTAGGCAAGGTTGACCAAAGAGGTGTGAAAATTTCTGCAGTAAGGTATGCATACTCCCATCCCCCGACCACGTTTGTGTGATTTTACTGGTATGGTGTTCTTGTTATTATACTCGTTCTATCTTTTGTTTTTTGGGGCCTCAAATCATCAATATGGTTTTGAATTCATCGTGGTTAAGAAAACAGCATTAGGCTTCATATTCTTGGCTGTGTGCCTGTCCATTTTGGATATTTACATACTCTCTAAAGGCTGGTCTTCAAAACCAGGAGGCTAAAGTTTGAATCTTTGTTTTGTAGTGATGTTTATGTTTAGCTTATACTCCCAAAAAAACTTACTTTCTTTTTTCGTTTGTCCTAAAATAAAGTTCCCATTCTATTAAAGGAAAGCATTGACTGGACATTATTTTTCTCTTCTCTGCGTACATTTTCACTTTTTTTTCAATTTAAGTTCAACTCCGTGAAAAACAAATGCGAAGTACAATATGGTTCAAAGGGAGTGTTTCGATATATGTTTCACTTTCACACCTGTTGAGTCTCAAATTAACTAAAGAAATGATGTTCATCCTATTTGCAGAGTGTGTGGACTTGAAGTGCAAGCTGTAGGGATATGGCTTTCAGGGTAGCCACACTAAGGAGCTGGGACAACGGAAAAAGCGTAGGACCCACATCCGGCTTCCATAACTTTGCTCACGCCATTGCACAACCATTTCCATTGGACATCATCATCTTCGGCAATCCCATAGCGCCAATAAAGGCCCAGTCTGCAAATCAGGAAAGGATCTGCAAATCAGGAAAGGATTGAAGGGAACATTGCTTACAGATTCTGTTATATCTCAGCTCAGGGTTTGTCGGTATTAAGCTCGGATTTAAGGAACAAGCTCCTTCTTTTGCAGGATGGGTTGATAATCGATTGTCTAAGTAAGATAATCAATTATTTTCTGGTTCAGTTTCTTGGATTTTTGGGAGGGATTGATAGTCGATTATCAGTATTATGATAATCGATTGTTTCAGGCTGCAGATGTTTCAAAGTAGTACGGATAATCGATTGTCAAAGGGGACAATCGATTGTTGAAGGCTGCATGTTTTTTTAACGACGACGGATAATCTATTGTCAATCAAGATAATCGATTATTGGGCAGAATTCTGGGCAGGAAGAAGTGTGTTTTGTGGGGAAATGGCTTGGAAAGATATGGAGATGATGAAGGAGTTCTTTTGGTATTTTTAATATGAGGAAAGAAAAGGGGATTAAGGATAGAAATGGTGGGGAAAGAAATGGATAGAAAATAATGATGGATAAAACCAAGTTGGTGTTAAGAGATATTACACACCCTTATCTTAACTTGGGGTTTGAATCTAGAATTTAATTAAGATATGACACACTTAATCAAATATCTAGAACCTAAAACTCACACTTAAGAAAACCACTCTTAAGATATAGAATTAGGAATTTGGCTAAAATAGCATCACACTATTTTAATAATACTCAAAGAGTAAAAGATTTTAATATTCAAAGGTTATGTTTACAATGGCCATAGGGCCTGATTATATAGGGAGAGGGGAAGGGGGAAATACATAGTACAAAACATGAGGAAACTTCCTGGAAGCAACTATTTCAAAAACATAGGATAATACCCATTGAATCATGTCTCCAAAG